GAGGTAGCATCGTCTCAACATCATATATTTAACATTCCCACATACCTACCTACATCACTGACACCATCCACACACCAAAACTGAAGCCTCTCTGGGCACAGGACCCTGCCTGCCGACTTCAGGAGGCTGGTGGAGTCCACTGTCACCTTAATTCCACAGCACTCAACACAACCTGCTGTGCTCTAGACTCACCCTCCAGTTCTTCCTACATTTTACAGTGCATGTGTGTATATACATTCATACATAACATGCATACAGTATATTGTGTATACATTGCTAAATATATATATAGAGAGAGAATATATATAGATAGTTCAGTAGAGTTGCTAAACATTTTAGGAACAATATGTAAGAACATCAATTACATTAACATCATCAGACTGTGAGTACAGAAGAGAGTATTTCAAGGATTTGCTCAGGATATCTGCTGAAAACACTACACATCATGTTACAGCTACTCAAATAATGTTAACTAATAAATAGTTTTGCTTTGATTTTGCCTCATATAGTTATTTCTATGTATTGGACAGTTCAAAACTAACTCAGTCCAATGCACTTGCTGAAGCAGACATTTGTGAATGGCTTTGTCCTGGGCTTTGCTTCTGGCTTCGTGCTTCCGATGAAGGTTCCTTGAACCAGTCACAAAGATGAGCTAAACTGTTTCCAGAGATCCAAAGTTTCTTTTGGGTATTGGGCCAACAGGCTGGAAGGTCTTTGGCTGGTCTCTGCAGCCGTTTTTAACAGCCTTCAAAATCAATATGTTGTCGAATAGCACAGTACCACGATGTTGTATTCTTTAGTTTGATACAACAGTAAGATGCTGCTCTTATTTGTAACAGCATTTGCAATGAGATTGGTAACAAATACATCATCTTCAGCAATTTTTGGATTGCTGCTGCCACCTGCAGACCTGGGAACTCAGCATTCTTTCAGCTATTCACACATAGGTACCTATGCTTTCTAAATAACCATCAGCATTTTAAATCAATTTTGGAATGTAAGTTTGGATGCTGAGATCTTTGGTGATTTCCAGGTAAACTGTTTAGTCACAAAAACTCAAACTACACAAAAAGCTGGAGTTTAAACAGGATAAAGGGAAAACAGAAATCAAGAACAGACTCTCTGAAAAACACCGAGGATGACTGAGTTCCTTTCTTCCTCAAAACCGCCAAAGTGCTCCTTTGGTTTTGTTTTTAAATGATTTTATTGAGCGCATTTCTGTCTGGTGTTCATACAGCTGTAGAAAAGAGAAGAACTGGAAGCAAAATGTTGGCATTTAAATAGCTGATGCTTTATTCAAAATATTTTCAAATGAGACAGAAAAAAGTATTTATATCGGATGTTTATAAAAAAGACATTTCATCTAGCTGTTGCATGCAACCTGTATGATTTGCATGTGAAAACCAAAACTGTCAGGAGCTTCTACAAATTATTCGAAGTTATGTACCCAAGTATGTGGGTAAAATATGGTAAAATAGAAGTGACACAGGACCTGACTGTGAAGCACATCAGCTCTGTTAAGCAAAGGCAGAGTTTCCTTGTGCTCTCCCGTCAGTGACATCCCCTGTCCCCAAACCGTGCTGCACGAGAGAAGCCAACACAGGTCACATGTGCAAATGTTTCATCACAGTGAAACCTTGTACTTGGCATAAATGATGGAGAGGTTGATGGAAACGGGAAACTAAACATTATTTTAGAAACATTTTTTGTTTAAAGTCTTCAGCCTTATCTCCTGTCTAACGAAAAGACAGCAGAAACCCAGAAAAGGCCATCTGTTCATAGAGGAAGCGCTTCCCGAAAAAAAAAGTATGGAAATAACAGTACTTAAGAGATTTAGCTCATGGACCAAACCTCTATTAGGCTAAATCTGTACAACCAAGCAATCTCAAGACTTAATATGAAAAACAAGCAGGCTGGAGTTTTGTAGGATGCTTTCTAAATTAAGGTTTTTATCCTAAAGAGATGCCAGGGAAGAATAACCAAAGAAAAAATGAGGATAGGTAATTAAATGCTAATTAAAACCAAAAATGGAACAAACTCTTTACTCTGCAGCTAACACCACAAAGCAAGATCAGACTTGTTGGGGGGAAGAACAAAAAAATATAGCAGTTAGACCAGAAGTTAGATGTAGTCTATCTAGCAGCAGAGTGATAAAGGAGATTGTCACAATGCTTTTTTTACTAGTTCATATAGATAATAAAAGAAACTAACATCTCTAGAGCAGCATTCCTCTGGCATTCATACCTTCATGCTGTGGTTGCAGGTGTTCTAAGTCTCTCAACTATTTGCAACTTTTAAAATCTGAAGGCTAGACAAGATTTATCCCTAGCAATTTGCTCCTTGTCTACCTAAAGCTCCAATAATCTAAATCCCAAATTTCTTTCCCATTGAGTTGTAAAAATTGTATTATATATTTCTTTCTATTATGTTACTTTCTTTATATGCCAAATTCCACTTTTTTTCAGTAACGTCATTTTCAAATGGAGTATTTGGAAGACTTGGGTTCTTTTCCTGGAATTGATTCCTTGAATTCTTGTAGGTCCCAGTTCCTGTCTGGACGGCCAGCACAGTCCTGTGGGCTGAAGCAGGAGAGACAAATCTCTGGAGGGGCAGAGAAGCCCAGGTACGTAGGCAGTGGGTGTATGGCCACAAACAGGTGCCTGCCTGATCTTCAGCCCGCTGCTCTCCAGAAGGAAAGATGGCTACTTCCCGGGTTTTTTCTTTGAAGTAAAAGAAATTTGCCAGGCTGGTGTTAAACTCCACCTTTTCAACACGAAAGACACCATGAGTGTGACTGGTGAAGGCTGTAAATGCAGCAGAGGGCACTGCTTCCTTCCCTCCTGTGCCAAAACCAGCAGAGCTGACCCCAAGGCTCTGCTGCAGCGTATTTAATTCTGAGAATAAGTTTTTGGGTGACCAACTCTCCAGCCACGTACAATACTTGACAGCTATTATTTTCAACAAATACCCTGTATGTTTGTTGGCCACTGAGCAATTCATTCATTTAGTATAAAGACTCCAAGTGTGTCAGAGGGTAAAGAGTTGATCAAAGAGACCTGCAGCTGGCAGGGTGGGGACATATTTCAGCCTTGACCGCTCCAGAGTCATGTTAGCACAGCACAGAGTCCTCCATTGAGGTTTAAATAATTTAATAACTCGACATAAATTGTCAATAGCCCCAAAAAAGTGCTATCAGAAACTTTATTTACAGTTGATTGTATATCTTACCACTGCCAAAGACATTTTACTTGGAACATAAAAAAGATATGTAATACTACAGTGCCTGAAGACAGACTTCAAATGAGGGGTGACTATTTTTTCCAAAAACTAGAGCTGCAGACGCTAGTTATAAAACTGCAGCTTTCTCTGTAAAACTTGAATCTCTTTGATAGAAAATACAAGACACATTAATAAAATCCATTTTTTTATTTTGATAAAATCCTTATAAATATCAAAGCACTTGATCAACTTCACTGTTTTCAATATGTAAAAAATATGTTAAAACCTTTGTCTCTGATATGAAGCCGTAGCCTTATTACTCTCTCTTCTCAGGCAAACAAACATTTATAACCTTCGTGCAATTTGTAAACATTTTGTTCATGTTCACAGCTACTCCCATGACAGGGAAACATATCAGATCCAACACTAAGTCTTAAAAAAGGGTGAGAAACCACGCAACACACTCTCGCTCTCTCCATGCACACTTTCCAGAGGTCCTCATTCAGAAAGAACCAGCCTGAGGTCTTTCTTCTCCCTGTGCCAGAAAACAAAAAGTGCCTGCAGGTTTTTCCCCTTTGGTTAATACTTGTACCTGCTGCCGCTGCCAAATGTCTTTTATTTCTTCCATGATCTATTTGTGTTCTTTCCTTCAGAACACATTCAGAAGGCACTGAGAGGCCTTGCAGCGATAGTAGCTATATTCTGGGGAGGAGAAAACAAAACCAATCCACATATCTTAAGCTAAACTAAAATATCTATGTCTCTATGTCTAATTTATTCAATTATAAGAAGGTATATAAAGTCAATCCTGTTTGTTGTTTCCCTCGTATTCGTCCATCTAAGAGCAAAAGATCTGTGGAGGCAAGAGGAACAGTCTACAAACCCTATGAAAAGGCAAATTCATGGAGAGCAGACGTGGAAGATCAGTTTGGGCAGAAGTACTACAGAGATTGGTGGTACTCACTGCCCACGAAACCTCCAGCTGCCTCTTTCAGATACCACTGGGTTTCACTTCTAGTTCTCAGAGTCTGAGGGTAAATCTAATCCTATACTAAAGCTACAGCCTATGGCAAGTTCATTAAAAATATTAAAAATAAGTTTAGCATAAACCAAACAATTATATTTAGATAACAAAAGCTCTTGAGAGAAACACAGGCTCAAGTCAATTCCTGAAGCCAGACATTCAAACATATCACTGTGGGGGGCTGATCTTTTATGGGCTATTGACTCGATGCTGATTTCTTTGGCTTGCTCTAAATGCTGTCTTTGGTTTCGGGATCTGAGTGCAACCCGCTAAGTTCAGCTATGACAGGAGAACTTCAGCCAGTGCCTGGGAGGTGTTACACCCCTGAGCAGTGCTGTGTCCACCTCAAGGTGTGAGGTGTGTGACACACGTCTCACACTGCAGCACGCCACGTGTTTAGTACGGGAGGGTCTGGAGCAACAGCTCATGATTTTAAGCAGTAAGAGTTCATATAAAATATCTGTTTTACTTTAATGCTGTTAGTCATTACTGCATGACTGCCTATTGTGAGAATATGTCATGGGGAGGGTGGAAAAACAGGGAGAGCATGATGCCACACTAGAGGAGAGGAGAGGAGAGGAGAGGAGAGAAGAGAAGAGAAGAGAAGAGAAGAGAAGAGAAGAGAAGAGAAGAGAAGAGAAGAGAAGAGAAGAGAAGAGAAGAGAAGAGAAGAGAAGAGAAGAGAAGAGAAGAGAAGAGAAGAGAAGAGAAGAGAAGAGAAGAGAAGAGAAGAGAAGAGAAGAGAAGAGAAGAGAAGAGAAGGAGGTTGAAAGGGACCTTTAAGATCATTGAGTCCAACCATCAACCTAACATTGGCAAAACCACCACTAAACCATGTTCCTCAGCACCACGTCCACCTTAATCTTTTGAACACCTCCAGCGATGGTGGTTCCACCACCGCCCTGGGCAGCCTGCTCCAATGTCTGATAACCCTTTTAGTGAAGAAATTTTTCCTAATGTCCAATCTAAACCTCCCCTGACATAACTTGAGGCCATGTCCTCTTGCCCTAGGTAAGCATGGTATTGAAGCAGTCAGCAATAAAATTATATCACTCTTGAAGTATTTTTTCTTTATAATTACAGTGTGATGTAATAGAAGCTAAATATTATGTTAGAGACCAGAAGAACAGTCGCAGAACACCCTTTACTGCCATTAATACGAGGGATCCTGTTTGGTAATTTTGTGACAAATTCTGGACAACTCCTTCACCACACCTGACCCTTAGGATTAGCAGTGCCCCAGTGCTCCTACACCAACGCACTCAAACACAGTCAGACCTGTTGACATCGATGAACCTGCAACAACCCAGGACATACCTGCCTGTAAGAAATGACTGCATAGTAACCAAGAACAAAACAACACTTATTTGCCATAGCAACTCACCAAAACAAAAAAAAAAAAAAAGAAAAAAAAAATCACAAAGTATATTAACTACTAAAATTAATTCAGCTTTTGGTTTCGGAGGGAGACAACCCTGGCTTTCCTCCTTTAATTCCTTCTGACTTCTCGTCCCTTTAAAGGCTGGGGAGGCCGGTAGTTTCTCAGCAAGCAGCAGGCGACCTCATCCTCAGCAGTACTCAGGAGGCTGCGGAATTTGGCCAGCTGCAAGCAAAAGAGACATAAGTTTCAGCAGAAAACCCTCACGCTCATACTAACGAGAAAGCACGTAGTAAATATTAAAGACACTTGTTGCCTTTTTCCCACCAGGAAGAACGGGAACTGCGTGGCAATTCCACCATTTCTGTCCTTGCAGATGAAAAAAGACGCCTCCCAAGAAAATCTCCCAAAACATGTGTAAGACTGAAACTGCACATAAAGGATTGTTTCCTATGTTCACACTTGTCTTCCATGACCTGATCTAAACCATTTTATTTTTTTTTTATATATATATTTTTAAATTGATTTTATAATTCGGAGATTCTGGAAAGTTTCATGCCAAAAATCTTATCTATGTACATTTTCTTGTTAAAGGGGAAATTCACCATTTACCTGCAAGAGTAGGTGTGGTGCTAGAGAAAGCTTCTGCAATTAGCACTTCTGATATATTAAACACGTACTCAAACCAGGAGAAATTTCAAATTTTTCCCTTGAGAAGATGAACAACAAGCAGTTGTTCATACCTCTGCATACCTCTGGATGGGCCTTTGGGCAACCTGCTCCAGTGGGAGGTGTTGCTGCCCAGGGCAGGGGGATTGGAACTCAATGATCTTTAAGGTCCCTTCCAACTCTAACCATTCTATGATTCTGTAAGTTTCTCTCTTAAGCTGATCTCAGCAGAAACCCAGATCAGAGCTCCGTGACTAAACCTCGGGAAATCCGCCTCTGATTTCTGACCTGAAGCTTAGTATCTTGTCTAATTTCGAATATTTCTATTTACTATTTCTATACACCACCTTACTTCCCTTCAAGGTCACCAGAAGGAGGACAGCACAAATATAATTCCATTATAATAGAGCATTTAGTTGTACAGCACGTTGCATCTTAATTGCATTGAAAGCAAAAAAAAAAGTCAATACTATCTTTCTTCATCCCATTCAAAGCTGACATCTTTAATTCAGGATCCCTGTGAGTTTCTAAAAATTTAAAATTTATTTTTCATTTCTGTCAACCTGAAAAGTGCACCAAAAAGTAGGTAGTAAACTGTAAAGCCCCAAAGAAATTCAAACTCGAGGAATAAAATGAAATGGCAAAACCAGTGTCAGCCACTGTGATCAATCAGAATGGTGGGCATTACTGGAAACAAACACTTTTAGCTACATGCATGCTTCTATTTATAAGAACATAGGGCATTTATACTTTAATACATAACATATAGCTACAGTCTGTGAATAATGACTAGTAAAGAATCACTCAATTTGACATGGTTTCTGACACCACGTCCTCTGAACCTGTTATGCACAGGTGTCTGCATACAGTATTTCACATTTTAGATGTATAAACTGTAGATTAGCCCAAATAAGAACCTGATTTTGTATCTGATTTTTATTATTCTAGTAAATTCACCACTGCAAGAAGAAATTTACTATTGATCTGCCAAATGAAAATGCCAGAAAAGAGGTTTGAACAAGCTACGCAAATAAACAAATCGAGTGGAATTCCAGGATTCCTAAGCGTCACCAGAACCCTTTTTTCCCCCCGGGTTATTTTTGATTGTTAATTTTTGGAGTCTGCAGATCCTTTTTAAAAAATGGATAATAAACAGTTGTTATGCAAAGAAAGGCAACAAGAAGTCAGGATAAATTTGAAAGACATACTTTGTCTTTTGGAAGTTTGATAAGGTATGCGATGCCAAGGTCTGCAAAAAATAATATTTTTTGGGGTGGCATTTACAATTTCAAGTCTTACAAAAGCAACATCTCTACACCAGTGAAAAATTAAAAAATACCTGTTCAGAACAAACACTTATGGGCTCTCTCAGAACAATCCAGATGACGCTCTCAAGAAGAGGTGGAACAGTGAGAGAGCCAAAGTATGTCCAGTAGTCCAGGGACTTGGGAAGCAGACAGCTGGGATCAAAGTTTGTGAATAGTGCTCTTTTACCCTGGAAAGACAAAAAAAAAAAAAAAAAAAAAAAGAAACCTGTGTGAAGCTAAACAGAACAGCCTCATAAGCTGATTTTTAGCTTAACTGGTTTTCATCTAGCAAGAACTTCACCAGGAGGAAAATAAGACTAATCAAAAAAAAAAAAAAAAAAAAAAAAAAAAGAAGTTCACAGTAGTTCTAGTTTAAATATCTGTTAAAATTTATTTCTTACTGAAAGTTTAAAAAAAAAAAAAGAAAGAATAGAGCAACATTATTTAAAAGCACGAAGCCAAAAATAAATCATGCCAAGGGCAGCACAGCTTGTTCCACTATAGGGTGGATCGTCCTGGATGACCACAGCAGGTGAGCCAGTGCCCTTCTGATGAGGTCCCACCTCAGCAACAGCTTTGCTGCTGACTATCCTTGATGCCACAGGACACCACCAAAGGTACCGTGTCAGCGTAGGCTCCCCATAGTTACAATGGGCCATGAGGTGGAAGTTGGAGGAAGAGGTGAGATGTTAAGACTTCCAACATGGTCCCCACGGAGCCGGCAGAGTAACCCCACAGGTTACTGACTTGCTTCCCTCCTCATCGACTCCTCCCAGGCCCATGGGCTACTACTTCTTCTTGCCCGTTCTGGCCACCAGGCCAGAGATGTCTGTATGAAACGTGATGTTGTGAGTCTGGCTGATTTCTCTCCCACAAAAACAATAGCTTATTTCTCATCCTGTACCTCAGCAAAACAGGGGAAGAAACCTCTCCCTCATCCTTTTCATAACTTTCCATAAAGTATGTCCTACTCCTGTTGCCGTTCTTGTAGCAACAATTTGCCAAAGACAAGGCTCTGTGAGGAATCAGCCTTTTTCTCTGCTCTCTTCTTGTATAAAAATTACTCTGTCTTCTTAGTTTTCCACTTTACCTAACAAGAATGCCCCTAAACTGTCTCAAACCAGAGTTAGATATGGATAGCTATGAAACTAGGGAACATGAAGGTGAAGGGAGTAGCAGCCAGGTTACCAAAAAAACCAAAACAACAAAACCAACCACCAATATTAGCACTCCTTTAGAAGCATTTCTTCACCTTGATTCTGATGGTGTCCAAGCGGTCGGTAATCTTCTTCAGCTGAGTGTTGCACTCACCAATCTGTTAACACCAGAGAAAAAAGAAAGAGTTGAGCTCCACAGGAAAAAATAGCAAAACTAAATAATCAAAAAGCGAATGCATAATGAAACAGTTTTACATAACTGTACTTAAGTGATGGTGAGATCTGATGGATTTTGTGAGTACAAGCCTGTGACTTGTACTGTTTGGTAAGAAGATCCACTCCCTCGCTGGTAGGATTTATTCTGGCTACTCCTAGTAATTACACTGTACAGGAGTGCAGACTAGCAAACCAAAAAGCCTCACTGTCTTGCAAATCTATTAATCTGCTATTTTTTATCTTTGAGGGAAAGTAAACAGCACGAAGGAAACCGTATCATTTAATGCCCGTATAAAACAAGTATCTCTTTAGCAATAATTACACCAACCACCACCATTATCCTTTTGGGATTATAATGCAGATTTATCAGGAAGACTAAGGCATTTTTTTCTTACCTTCAGAAATACAGCCATGACTGCTAATCCATCTGACTGACGAGCTGCCTCAACAAAACTTGAGTATTTTTCTGAGTTCCAGTGGACCACATGAAGCTGAAAAGCAAGAGACACCGACAGCATCAACTCCCGCTGAACTCAAATAGTCACAAATTAATACTACAACTTTACTGGTTGTGATACTCTATTTTACTCTTTTGGATTCGTAGCCATTCAGTTTTCTAAACGCAACTATTTTTTTGAAACTGGTAAATACAGAGTTCACACAAATGACAAAAAAAAAGCATTTCCAGTGGCCTGGATTATTCAAAATTTAGCAGCAATCAACACACTCCAGTGCCTGGCAAACTGCTGTTGGGTCCCCAGGTTTTTAACAGAGAAGCTAAAACAAGATATCCCGTGGTTATATAACTAAAGCCTTTAAGTCCACTTGTAGTACAGCTGATTTTAAAAAGTGATTGAAAATGATGAGGATGTTATTAGTTGCTCCTCTTTTTCCTTAATCAAGCTTTCAGTAACATTAATCAGCCACACAAATAGCCAGGAATCAGGCAGAAAACACACATTAAACTTGCGCTGACCTCTTTTCCCTTGTGTGCTTTGACATCTTTTCCTAGTTTAGTTTTTGAACATCAGAATTTCATTTTTGATACTTTCCAAACACCACTTTCTAGGATTATCAGCGGTTGGGCACTTACAAGCAGCTGGATTATCTCAGGTTTGGGTTTCTGCATTTCCAACAGGCGTTATTCTGGAGCTGTTCCTGGGCTTAGTTGCTTAAGCATCTTAAAGACACCAGGTGGGGAAAGGCAAAGCCCATGATGCCTACCCCCCATCACACCTCAGTCCCCCCCTGCAAAACCAGGTCTCCTAAATCCTGGCCACGCTCTGCAACGGGAGCTCCTGGTTCCTGGGAAGCCCCATCCTTGAGCAAGGGTCCGACTGCCGAGCTGGAGAGAGCACAAACACTCACACGGCGCTTAGGACTAAGTCCTTCACAAACATCAATCACTCTCAGAAGTCCTTGGTGGGTCAGTAAATTTTACTGCCCACGTTTTTTTTTTAGATGAGGAAGGATAAAGGTCAGAAACAGGGCACGGGATTGGCCTTTCTAAAATTGGTGACCATCTTTTCTTCAGGCTTTGGACTATACTCTTTAGGAGCGCTGATAAGCAGCTCCACTGCTTGACTTAAACTGGGATGAACCTCTGGGGAAAAAAAAAATAAATAATAAAAGGCTTTCTTTTGGAATACAGCACTTCAGGACCTGTAAAGTAATAGCAATTTAGGAAAGCTGGAACTTGCTTTAAAGCCTTTCTATGGGAAGCAAGGCAGCTGCATGGTTGAAATAGGAATCCAGGAGCGTGAAGATCCTGACTCTAAATCTCAGTCCTTGCCTAACCTCTATGAGTTTTAATTTTCCGTATCTAAACCAGACCCATTCCTTGGTGTTACAGTGTATAATTAATGTTTGTTAAGCACTTGGACTCTAAAGTGCTGAAACATTACTTCCAGCAAGGAAGGAATCCCACTGAAATCAATAATAATACATGTATGCTCACAATGAAACACATGCTGGCTCCCAGCTTCAGAGATCCTTGAAGGAAAGTTGCTAAAAATCTTATAAATTAAACTGGGAGGAGAACACAGTACTCTAAACCATTCTCAGATGCATTAGTATCGTTCAGCTCATAGTACCTGCACCACTTACTATTGTAAGTTCACAAAAGCTACATTGAACAACTTTTAAACAATTACATTTTCACACACACAAAAAGGAAACAGATACTCTCCATCAAAATTGACTTTTATTATGGATTTAAAAAAAAAAAAGAAAAAAAAAACAATAAAGAACAAAAAGCATAATTCCCACAACTCAATAAAGCCCATCCCCACTCCCTCACAGCTTTGCCACCCCCTCCCCAAAACAACCCCCTCCCCAACCAAAACCCCCACACAAACAGAGCCGTGAAACGCTTTTGGGTACAGCCCCATTCTCAAGGGCTTGTGACTTCTCTTTAAGGAATATATCCCATCTTACCACCGCTCTGTCACTGCAGCTTCTGAGGAGACCTTGACCAGACCATACGTTGTCACAAAGAACGGAGCCAGGGATCCCTTCTGCTTCCCGCTGGCCTTAGGGGGCTGAACCTTGCAGTCTTCTTTACCTCAACACTAATTCTTTCTTCAGCTCAGTCGATGCTTTTTCTTGAAATCTTACACATCTTCCTTATGAAGGGGAGCACCGAAACCATCTTCGTGTCTCCTTCTGACGTATTTTCTTTTGTGTGAACAGTGCTCAGAAGCCTTGATTTTAATTCTGTGTTTCTTATCCCAAAGCCAAAGTGACATCTAGAGAGCTTCTTGTGGAGCGTTACCCAACCAACAGGTAACGGAGAGGTTTTTAGACTGGCTAGAAATTCAGAGATATTTTCTCCTTCCATTTGGTTTCTTAGATGGGAAACATATATATATTTTCTCAGCTAGAAATTTGGTTTTGGTACTTAATGGTTTTAAAGCACCTCAATTAATTCTTTATATTCCATCCCACCTGGTTCCTGTGGAAAACATAAGCCTTTAAACACTGCAAATGTCACTTTTCCCCATTACTATTAGAAAACTGATTTTTTTTCTGAACCACTATCTCTCATAGCATTTCCAGTAAAACCTGATCACACCACTGCGCACACACTTCATTTTTTCTTCTGTAGGATTATGCCTTTTACTTTTCCGTTAACATCTATTTTTATACTTTTTACTCCTTTTTAACCCCAGAAGACTACTCAAACACACGGAAGGAGACAGAGCAGGAGCGAATTCTCCGTGCCGGAGCGGACGGTGCGCTTCTCCCTGTGGCACCTGTGCCTCCACTAAAACCCTGTACCTCCACAAGTACACGGGCACCCCACAGATATTAAGGTGTGGTTCTCAAAGCGAGTCATGAAAGTCATAAAGATGACATTTGCTAAATGCACCGCAAAACGCAACGGTCCTAAGTCCCTGGCATAAACTTTATGTTGCACGGGCCCCACATCAAATAATTCTGTGGACTGTAACTGCAGCTGACTTTGAAAATACTCTCCAAGGAAGAGACAGTGAAAGACAAAGGTTAAAGCAACTCTTGAACATTAAATCTTGCTCTTATCAAGCTCTTCTCTTCTGTACTCCTTTTTTAATCCTCTCCAGAGCTTTCAAATAGGTTCTCCTTTGAGAAAGGACCAAACATGCAACACTCCAGGAAGACCTCTCGTCTTTCGATAAAATGGGTGGGAGAGTGAAAAGCAGGAAGTGGAGGGGGCGACATTATTCTCACAATGGAAAATGAGTCACGAGCGTGGAGGTAGAGGTGACGTGATGGGACAATGCCTTACCTCTGCCGCGTACTTCATCCCATCCACCGCGTGCTCAGAGCCGGCTTCGTCGTTGGATCCCCAGTGGAAGTGGATCTGGCGCAGCCTGTAGGTCCCACTGAGCGGCCCCCCGGTCAGCACTGCAAACCCAAGCAGAGGAAAAAGGCTTCATTGCAAGAACAGGAGCCACCACCCACATCCTCTAACCTCACACCAGGCTTCAGTCTCCTGCTCCTTCTCAAAAGCTGTCTCTCTTTTGAAGTACTACGGAAACCCTCGCTTGTCCACGGTTCCTCCTCTGACACACAACTCCAACAGGGTAGGTTTAGACTGAACATTAGGAAGGAATTTTACACAGCGAGAGTGGTCGGGCATTGGAACAGGCTGCCCAGGGAGGTGGTGGAGTCACCATCCCTGGCTGTGTTTAAGGGACGTTTAGATGGGGCACTGAGGGATATGGTTAATGGGAGGACTTTGGAGAGTAAGGTAGATGGTTGGACTCGATGATCCCAAGGGTCTCTTCCAACCTCAACGACTCTATGATTCTATGATTCTATGATATGACTTTCAAAATTGCATTGATGTATAGATTCGTGGGTTGTGGCTCACTAAAGGGGATGTTGTTATCACCTTGAGGAGGGAAGTGGACAGGGAGGTGCTGATGTCTCCTCTCCTGGTATCCAGTGATAGGACACAAGGGAATGGTTCAAAACTGTGCTAGGGGAGGTTTAGACTGGACATTAGGAAGCATTTTTTTTATCAAGAGGGTGGTCAAACATTGGAACAGGCTTCCTAGAGAGGTGGTTGATGCCCCAAGCCCATCAGCGTTTAAGAGACTTGGGACAATGCTCTTAATAACATGCTTTAACTTTTGGTCAGTCCTGAATTGATCAGGCAGTTGACCTAGATGATCATTGTAGGTGCTTTCCAACTGAAATAGTCTAGTCTAGTCTAGTCTACTTAATGTACATATGGGTGGGCTTTTCATTGTTTTGCTTTTGCAAGTGCTCACTTTTTGGCTAATCAGAGTTGGAACCAAACCGTCTCTGCACAATGACTTGAACATGAATTGCATTCAGAAAGATTCCTTTTTCACCGCAAAACAAATCACCCCACTCTCCCAGCTCCGTGTCTCCTCTGAGGGCTTGGGAATTAGTCTGGGCTGGTTTACTGGTTCATTACAGAGATTTTAAGGGGAAAAGATGGAAGCTTTAACCAGATGGTTTTTAAATTAAGAGCACTGGGGAGGACAATAGTGATTTTTTTTCTTTCTTCTAGGTTTAGTCCAAAAGCTGAACTTTGTTAGGAAAAAAATACCACTACATAAAGATAAAAGAAGAATTTCTTAAGTTGCCTATCTGCTAACACAAGTAGCCTGGCTAATGAGAAGGAACTGGAACTGTTTGTCTGCGGGGAAAAACATCTGACCTCCTTAAAACTTCAACTCAAAAACTTGCTTTTACGGAGCCTATAAACCCAGTGACCAAAGGGGATGGGGAAGTGGCACTCCTGAAACAAATGCCTTCTTTCAAGGACTGAAAACTTGGAGGCAAATGATCCTAGAAATGTAAAGATTGGTGTTCTAACTGGCTGAGGGAAAGCAATTATGTAGAAATCCATCAGCATTAATGAAATGCTTCTACCAAAAAATGTAAAAAATGGCCTGGTTATGTACTTGTCTCACATCATATAATGATGGTAAAACTCTTCCATTCCTACAGTAATTAAGGAAGAGGTTGGTCAGAAGCTTATTTAAGGCAAATACCAGTATCTCAAAGTTTAAAAAGAGCTGGAAAAAGAAAAGCATCAACAGGCCAACTTCATAGAATGGAGCTACTGTGGTACCCAAGAGGATAAGCAAAATTAACCAGTTACAGAATTGACAGCCCAGTTTCAATGCTGGCCAAGGTGAAGAAATACTTCATATGGAAGTCAGTTAATAATGTATTAAAATATACTCATGTATTTAGTACCAATTTTTTTTTTTTTTTTCATAAAACCACCATATGGCAGGAGTGCTTACTTCACAGGGGTGCCCCAGAGCCCAAATTTTGGCCCTAGAAAATTCAGTATTTTTTGATCAATGACCTGAAAGAAAACAAAAACATTACTGATAAAGGTTGTCAGTGACAAATATTAGGGAAAATAGTGAATAATTCAGTTTATGGATACAAAAGGACTTGAATTCTTTGATAAGTAAGGCATGATAATGGCCAAAACGTAAAGCCCTGATGGGGACTGAAGAATCTAGTCCATACATAGAAGATACGGAGCCTCCTGAAGGAGGATTACATCTGTTAATTATCTGATCAACATCTGTCAGTGCTTTGCCATTACATGAATAATATCCTTGGAGATATGATCTGAGGAAAGCAGCAAGAAGAGGATCTCATTACCACTTTGGTGGTACCTGCTTTGGTACCGGTGTAAGCCTACAGAAACACTACGTTCAGGCCCTGTCACTGGATGGAGTTAGAAAGTGGAAGAAGTTCTTGGTGTATTCATATTCACATGTATTAATTATTTTTTTTTAAATATTATTTTAAAGGCTGAGTTGGTCTAACACCAGAAAAAAGCGTGATTTCAATTTTTTTAATTGTGAGGGTAATTAACAATTAGAACAACTTACCAAAGGCTGCAGTAGGTTCGTCATCGCTGGAAATTTTGAAATCAAGATTGTATGTTTTTTCTAAGAGATGTGCTTTAGTTCACCCACGCCTACTAGGCTTGAAGCAGAGATTAATTCTGGGAAGTCCCGTGGCATCTGACACACACGAGGTCAGAGCAGATCACTGACGGTCAGCTGATGGCTTTCAGGCAACATCCAGTGTTGCTTGTATTGACAGGAAATTTGAGAATTAAACTAGGACTGCCCAGGAAAGCAGAGTTTGATGCTGTCTCCATCTGTGTCTCTCCCTGTTGCTGCTATAAGCTAATAGGTCCTCAGGACTAAGGGACACGGTGATCACAAATGAGTCCTCCTCTGGCTTTGACCCTTGTGAAAGCATCATGTGGGCTTGGATCCTCAGCTAAGCCTCGTACAACCACAAGAGGATTTTATTGCTTGAAGAATCTGCACTCCTACAGTTTCAAGGGGAGGTGTGCTAGATTATCTACCATCTAAGAGAAGGTTTTAAAGATGAAGGCACTAACATTACAAAGACTATGCTAAACCAGAGAACTTCTAACTAAGAATTATCTCTTGCCAAAAGGGAAGCCACATGCTCCTGGAAAAGCCTGGGACAATAACACTTTTCAGAGAAGAAAAGGGATCACTGGGGATACATTTCATTTGTTCTGTATTGGCTCTTTCCTGACACAAGAAGTCCAGGTATGGATTCTAAAAAAAGGGGATAAATATATAACCAAACCTGCAGCTAAAGTCAAGATAAGAGACTTGAGCAATTCGGTTGGAATGAACCTGTAATGAGACACAAAGGATTCATCTGCAGTGAGAGAGAGCAGCATTTGAAAAATTGTACACAACACTGTTCAAACAGGGGGGCTGGCACTGTCTGGCTGGGTGGGGTGGATCAAACCATCCCGCTGAAAAGGCAATCCTGGCGCTTTCTAAGAAATGCAACCTCAAACTCATGTCCAAATACGTTCCCACATTGTATCAGGCTGAAAGACAGGGGGAAAAGGAATCTCTTGTGCAGAGGAACAAAGCCTTACTGTTTAGGAGGAATTCACACCTGGCAGCAAGACACAGCCAGGCTGTATGCACTCTGTTTAGGAAACGGTAGAAGAAGACACGGTGGAACAGGAATGGGACAAACCTGATTTGTTGACGGTGTCATCAAACTCAACACTGGTGGAGTGCCCGTTGTTAAGGATGATTTTAGCAGAAGCTGGATCGTAATTCGGATTCAGAGGACGGAGAGAGGGATCATACTTGGTTTCCTCCGTTTTGATGTCGATGGGTGACTGACGGTCTCCATTAGCGATGGGAAAAACCTCCTTCCAGTGGGCGGGCCCTGCAACGCATTGGAGGAGAAGTCTAATGGCAGCCCCCTGCTTCCTATGAAAGAAGACTCTGCTTGAATTGTTCTTCTTTACATTTTTTAAATTCATAGAAAAACCACAGATCAAAATATTCAGCTACTTTTGCTGCCACATACAACAGCGGCTCTCAGGGCCCCTCCATCTACCTTAGCTGGTGTATCTAACTGTACTTGGCCTTTGAACAAGGCCATATGCAACAGGTAGATATTTAATTATTCACAGTTAAGACTCAACTATGCACAAGACATATCCAATAAATGCTTACTCAGATCAAGCATCCTGTATTCAAGAGGCACTGTGCCCCAATAAATTTATGACGTGCCATTTTTGCCTAGTACCTTGTCTCACTATGTCTTTAAGGATTACCTCTTTTCTATCCAAAATCCCTGCTTCAAGGGTTTTTTAAACCTTAGTAATTGGCTGCAAAACTCCTAAGAACACACTTTCTACTGACTATACTGAATGAGATGGGAAAGTGTCAATAAAGATAAAAAGGCTGAGTGGTGCATGTAGCATCACTGACAACCCACCACCTCCTCCCAACCCACCAAACCCTCCAAACCAGCAGGGTTTGCAGCAACACAACATGAGAGAGTCACCCTCTAACCATAATGTCTACACACACGCACACACACACACTAGTATAGAGCTGACAAAACCAGCAAAGAACAGGAACACCCAGGACAGTGGTGCCTGCACAAGGTTTGGGTTTCTACTACCTCCTACTGATCAATGGGAGTAGATCTTCCGACACAGACCTGCACTACCCTAGCTGACAGGAGTCAGCTAGAAATTAAAACACTAAAGAAGCTGTTAATCAATGCTTCTGATCTCGACTTAAACTTCCTCTCTCCGTGCAAGCTAAGCCAAGTGTCAGCTGAAAAGCACTGTCCCTCTAAACCAACAACATGGATGTAAGAAAATTGACAAATGTCATTCTAAAAGAGTACGAAAAGCTTCATTGATGAGATGTGTGTCTGCTCTTACCTACTGAACACCAGAGAGTCCTCATCAACCATATATGTGCCATTGTTGAACCATATTTGAATAATAAACAATGAGGAAAGAGGCCTCATGGAAGAAAAATAGGAACAGTAAGTTGCTTGGGGAATATGTTCTATAAGGCAAAGATAGCAAACCAGGTTTAGGATGGGAAAGAGGGTAAGATAAGACAGAACAAGAAGGAATGGCTTCAAGCTCCACCAGGGTAGGTTTAGACTGAACATTAGGAAGGAATGTTTCACAGAGAGAGTGGTCGGGCATTGGAACAGGCTGCCCAGGGAGGGGGTGGAGTCCCCATCCCTGGCTGTGTTTAAGGGCCGTTTAGATGCAGTGCTGAGGGACATGGTGTAGGGGAGGACTTTGTAGAGTAGGGGAGATGGTTGGACTCGATGATCCCAAGGGTCTCTTCCAACCTCAATGATTCTATGATTCTATAAGGGAAAAGGGAAAGTCTGCAGGGCTAATGAACTTTCAGCATTGTAAATAGCACAGCACTTGTTTTTCCTCCAGGCTTATAAGAAGCATAATAAATCAACTAAGAGAGACTGGATCTAAGAAAACCTTAAAGTTGAGCATCAGAACCTGATCTTGTAAAATCTGCATCACTTGAAATTGTCATAACTCCCTATATTGAAGGTAGCTGATCGCAGTCTAAAAATCAGCTGTTTGGCTTAGCACTTCAATAAACACGATGACAAAAAAAGGATTAAAATGTATTACGCTGTGATGAATGGCCTAACATCAAAAGTTGTCAGAGGGTTTTCTCCCCTCGACTTCAAGAGGAGTGAGAACAGCTCAGAAACTCCCAGGTGCTGAAACAACCCCGGCTGCCGGCAGTAAATCAGGGAGGGACGCGTCCCCCGGCGCCGTGGGGAAGCTCAGCCACCTGGGCAGAACCCGGCTCTCCTCTGAGCAGCACCCAAAAATGGAAAAGGGAAGGAGCAGCTTGTAAAGACGGGTCTGAGACTTAAACCTCAGGCAGAACAAAGGCAAGGGCCTTCAGTCTTGAGTTTTTTGAAAAGTCCTTTTGTTAATGACTTCATTAACTGGACTCATTAAGCAAACCACTTCTAAGACAGAAGATAAAAATCCTACTGGTTTGAAATACAAACTTAATTCTTCTCACTTTTCAAATGGTCATCAAAGCTATTAAGTGTTTTAATTACATACAGTTTAGCTTATAATTTTTTATTTTTTATGTTTAGATCCCAGTTGAAGATGCAATGTACAATTTTATTAATTGAAGAAGCACCACTCCATCATTTATACCTAACTAGCTGCTGCAATTTAGGATGCTTAGAAAAAGATTATTGCTACTTAACTTTAATGCTTGGGATATTCTTAAAATGAGGAACGCTTAACTACTTGGTCCTATTACTCCCTCTCAGCAACAACTATAGTTATTTTACAGTAAATAATATGAATGAATTGCATTCATAACTAATATGAATGTGCTAAAAAGAGGACCCAAGGCTGTGATTCTGGCAGCAGCCAAGTGTTCAACAATAAAACTCCAGTTCTAACAAGACGTTGTACCTGCTTTTGTGCTTGCCCTTCACTCAGATGACCAAAAGCATCTCCTGCTTTGGCGATTACGCATCTGTCAGTAACACAAGACTGACAGAACACACAGGAAAACATCAAGAATTTTCAGACATTTTTACCACTTGGTTGTATCAAGAGATATTCCTTGCTGGATTATCTGCCAGCAACCTCATACAATTCTCACACTCTCACCAGTTGAGGAAAACTGTGACACCACAGACCCCAGCCCAAAGCTGGACCGTTGGACATGAACTCCTTGCAGCGGGAAGAAGATGGACCTGATGCTCAAATGCATGTCATACAATCAGATTTAAACCAGTGGGATCTCCAGGGTGAAAATTTCTTCCACATTTGGACCTGAATTATGTGCCTCTGTCTCAACATAACGTACAGCTGAATTTTCCAGATATGTGCTTGAAGGCATACCCAGGAATGTGAAACTCAGCGATTCACCCTCTTTCATTTTTTAAATTTACTTAAGGAACTTGATTAAATATACCAGGTTTTGAACTTAAGAAACACCAAGGAACTTGATTAAATATACCAGGTTTTGAACTTACGAAACTCCCTCCTGTTGATGGGAAGATGTTCTTTTGCTGAAGGTGATGACCTAGTAGCTAGGCACAACCAAAGCCCTTGCGTCTAAGATTTATGACAAAAAACCTAAACCACCTGAAGATCTGACACCTTTCCTTTGGACACAGAGTTACCAGATGCGATACACACCGCTGTCACTTTTAGATGGGGCTGGGGCTGCTCATCTCCAGCCCACCAGAGTTGCATGCATCCACTCACAGAATCACAGAATCACAGAATCTTCTAGGTTGGAAGGGACCATAAAGATCATCTTGTCCAACCGTCAACCTAACTGACAAAAATAGACACCCACACAACAAACAAGGAGCATCATCACTAAACCATATCTCCCAGCACTACATCAACCCGTCTTTTGAACACCTCCAGGGATGGTGCCTCAACCACCTCTCTGGGCAGCCCATTCCAATGCCTGATAACCCTTTCAGTGAAAAAATTTTTCCTAATATCCAGCCTGAACCTCCCCTGGCGCAATTTGAGGCCATTTCCTCTTGTCCTGTCACCTGTGACTTGAGAAAAGAGACCGACCCCCACCTCTCTACACCCTCCTTTCAGGGAGTTGGAGAGAGCAATAAGGTCTCCCCTCAGCCTCCTCTTCTCCAGGCTGAATAACCCCAGCTCCCTCAGCCTCTCCTCACAAGACTTGTGCTACAGACCCCTCACCAGCTTTGTTGCCCTTCTCTGGACCCGCTCCAGCACCTCGATGTCTTTTTATGGTAGGGGGCCCAAAACTGGACACAGTCCTCGAGGTAGGGCCTCACCAGTGCCCAGTACAGGGGGACCATCACCTCTCGGGCCCTACTCGCCACACTGGTCCTGACACAGGCCAGGATACCATTGGTCTTCTTGGCCACCTGGGCACACTGCTGGCTCCTGTTCAGCCGGTGTCCACCAACACCCCCAGGTCCTTTTCTGCCAGGCAGCTCCAGCCACTCTGCCCCCAGCCTGGAGCGCTGCAGGGGGTTGGTGGGACCCAAGTGCAGGACTTGGCCTTGTTAAACCTCATCCCGTTGGTCTCAGCCCATCCATCCAGCCTGTCGAGATCCCTCTGCAGAGCCTCTCTACCCTCCAGCAGATCAACACTGCCACCCAGCTTGGTGTCACCTGCGAACTTACTGAGGGTGCACTCGATCCCCTCGCCCAGATCATTGATAAAGATGTTAAAGAGAATTGGCCCCAGTACTGAGCCCTGTGGGACACCACTCGTGACTGGACGCCAGCTGGATTTAACTCCATCCACTCCATCAATTAGATCTTGTCAGGATAAGCCATTATGAGTCTGTCAGCAAATGCAACTCACTCCAGCACCTAACGACCCTGCTTTTTTTCACCCAGCTGGAATTAGAAGCCATGAGTTCCATCAAAAGGCTGGGCTAACTTCAAACAAGCCCAGTGGAGACACAGAGTTGCCTTGCATCGAGCCTCTGGACAGGCATAAACAAGAGTACGTATGTAAAAGTCAAATCTTTTTATCTTTCTTTTTTTTTTTTTTGGACAGTTTGATATTATACACAGAAAGTTTATGAGTTTGGTATGGTCTGACCTTTGTAGATTCACACCCTCATTTTTTTCTAAGAGGAATCCACTGCCTGGTTTATCACATACAAAACGCTTAAATTTTACAGTTGAGTTTGCAAGTAATTTAGTTGCTCGTTAGGTTACTGTAAGATTAGCTCTAATAAAAAGAATTTGAAACTCATAATGGGTAAAATTAAAGGGCTGTTTTTAAAGCAGAGACCAAAAATTATGTAATTATTCTCAGGGAGAAAAAAAGGGGCAGGGGGAATTCATATCCCTTTTTATTTATAAACCACCTCAGTGTTATAGTTGTAACTCCACCAAGACACACTTTTGCAGCAAAGCAAAACACATGTAAGTACTTTCCGTGTGTTTTATTAAACTAATACTAAACTGATTCTCGGATCTGTCCTCTAACTAAGGCGATTCCCCCACTAACTAAGAGGGCTGCTGCTGAGAAGGGGCAAGGACATTCCTCTCTTGGCAGGAACCATGAGCAGCACAGAAAAGCATTGGAGGATGCCACAACGGAGCCAGTTTTGAAGACCTCAGTATGATGCCTCCATACATAAGCACCATCAAACCTGTGAGGCAAGAAAGCAGAGGCCAAAGTTTGCATAGAAATAAAATAATGCCTCTCTGCATTTCAGAAATACACGCATCACAGGGGAGAACACCGAGTTCTGTGTCTACCAGTCACACCAAGTCCTTCTACGCAGATATACCATATAAGCAGACCCGTATGTGGAATATTTGACAGTGTACTTTATGACCCAAATGATTTGTGTTGCGGTTATTATTGCTAAGGGGCAAACGAGCCTTCCTCCAGTTTAGAAAAACAGTGCTTTTATCACCTCAGGTAACAAATGCAGAACTCACAGCGAATGCAGATGGCTTTCCAACTCTTCAGGAAGTCAACTTTAATGTATGAATGCACCAAATTTAATTAATTTCGCTTTGTCGCTAATCTCCTTAATTGCAGAAGCTAATCTTAGTCTGGGGGAAGCTATTCAGAGCTATGCAAGGCAACAAGATTTTTCAAGCATCGGGGCAATCTTCTGCATTTGCTGTTCAGCAAAACAAGAAATGAGCAAAGCCAATAAAATAAATGCACAAAAAGAGAAAAAACTGAGAAATAAAACTGATGCTAGGGAAGAGCAGTGAGGTGTTGGGTATCCACACGTCTCTCCTTTAGCCTCCTGGAGCAGGTGGAGGAAAGGGGATGGACTGATGGAGAACTACCCACCTCAGCTGCTGGGGGCTCCAAGAGAGGAGGAGAGGGAGGAAGTCAAAGTCCACCCCAAATATGTTATCAGCCAGTAAACAGAGTTTTATAGGAGAAATGGGGCCTCAAAATAGG